CTTTGTTTTTACTATTGTTGTATTTACATATTTTTTTAATATCATTTTACATCTTACTGTTGTAAACAACCATAGTAGCCCCACAAAGAGATGGGCAACAAAGAAATGTAATAAACAAACAAATAATACATAAATAAACATCCATATGTGGTATTTAATAGTCCTCATTTTGTCTCTGAGCAGGGACATGCTATTCAGCCAAAAATGAATGAGATGTGTAAATACCTGAAGGAGTAGAATTTCCACAGTTTAAACTCTAAAGCTGGTATTTATGAATGAGAATGGACCATTAGAAATAGAAGCCTGGACTTTGAAAGCCTGTGAGAGATCTAGTTGGAAAGAGAAGAAGATAAACATTGCATTCTAAAAGGGTGACAACTTCAAAAGCCGATATAAAAATTTATGCCACCAGATAAAGACTGAATGCACCAATTATCACATTAAACAAGAGGAAAACCTTCTACGCACCAATTCCACCTGCGCTTTTTACAATTTTGTAAACAACAAACTAAAAGACTCAAGGTCCATCCCACCCCTGATAGGACCTAATGGTAAAGACTGCAATGATGACACTATTAAAGCCAACCTCTTTAACACATTCTTTGGCTCAGTATTTGAAAACAGCAATGGATCATGCCCAGTATTTCCTAGTCGAACCACAGAAAACTACAATGATCTAATACAGTGGCCCCCAACCTTTTTTGTGCCACGGCCCGGTACTGGCATCACAAAATGATCCGCGGCCCGGTACCAGCATCAGCACGCATGGCAAGGCGAGCCGAGCGACCGGCCAGCCAGCCGTCCCCCGCTTCTCCCCACCACCTTCAACTCCTCCTTTGTACCTTTGTCGATGGGCTTCGGGACGGCTTCAGGATGGTCGCTCAGCTTGCCTTGCCTTGGGTGCTGAAAGAATCCTCGCGCCTTAGTTTTGTTCGAAGCGGCCCCCCCTTCGATGAAACTAAGGCGCGAGGATTCCTTCAGGACCCAAACGCCGCTTTCCAACTGGAAAAGCTCACCGGAAGCACTTTCTCATCAAAACAAGATGGCAGCACCCAGCAAACCGGCGGCCCAGTAGAAAATGTTCCAGGGACCGGTACCGGTCCGGGGCCCGGTGGTTGGGGACCCCTGATCTAATACATATTGATTTTACAGAAGACAATGTTGAAAAGGCACTACGCAATCTAAAACCATCTCTACCTATTGGACTGGACAAAATATGTGCCTACTTCTTAAAAAACCTATCCAGTGCCATAGTCGAACCTCTAAGCATAATCTTTGAAAAATCTTTCAGGACCAAAACTATGGCCACAAGCCACAGTCATCCCCATCTTCAAAAAGGGAGAGCCCAGCCTAGTTGAAAATTACAGACCAATCTCTTTATGCTGTGTCACCTGTAAAGTCATGGAATCAATTATTAACCAATCCATTATCCTCCAATTAGAAACAAACAACCTACTCTCTAATAAACAATTTGGTTTCAGGAAAAAACTATCATGTAATCTGCAACTCTTACACTGCAAAAACATATGGACTACACAACTTGATTATTGCAAAGCAATAGACACAATCTACATAGACTTCTGTAAAGCCTTTGATTCAGTGGTACACGACAAACTATTCCTAAAACTAAAATCTTACAGTATCTCTGGACACCTGCATAACTGGATAGAAGCATTGCTGTCAAACAGACAACAAAGGGTCAAAATTGGGAGCGTCCTATCAAATTCTGTACCTGTCAATAGTGGTGTCCCTCAAGGCAGTGTTCTAGGACTAACTCTTTTCATAAACTACATAAATGACCTCTGTGATCATATCAAGAGCAACTGCGTTCTCTTCGCTGATGATGTAAAGCTATTCAATACCACAGACAATACTGCTACCCTTCAAAAAGACCTTGACTATGTATCAGAATGGTCAAACAAATGGCAACTTCAAATCTCAACAAATAAATGCTCTGTCCTACATATTAGCAAAAAAAAAATCAGAAAATAAAATACAGGCTGAATAGTCAAGACCTTGTTGATGATCCAAACTCTGTCAAGGATCTTGGAGTACTCATCTCTAGTGACCTAAGTGCTACAGCCCACTATAAGTACATAGCCAAAAAGGCGTTGAGTTGTTAACTTAATCTTAAGTAGCTTTTTCTCTGGTAATATTACACTAAAAACTAGAGCATACAAAACATTTGCTAGACCAATACTTGAATACAGCTCATCAGTCTGGAACACACATTACGTATCTGATATTAACACAGTTGAGAAAGTCCAGAAATATTTCACAAGAAGAGTTCTCCACTCCTCTACTCATTGCAGAATACCTTAGGCTACCAGACTTGAAATTCTAGACCTAGAAAACCTAGAACTACGCCGCCTTCGGTCCGATCTAACTATAGTATATAAAATCATACATTGCAATGTCCTACCTGTCAATGAATACTTCAGCTTCCACCATAACAACACAAGAGCAAACAATAGATACAAACTCAAGGTTAATCGCACCAAACTTGATTGCAGGAAATACGACTTCAGCAACAGAGTGGTCAATGTCTGGAATACTCTACCTGACTCTGTGGTTTCTTCCCCAAACCCCAAAACTTTAACCTGAGACTGTCTACTATTGACCTCACCCCTTTCCTAAGCAGTCTGTAGGGGGCGTGCATAAGTGCACCAATGTGTCTACCGTCCCTGTCCTATTGTTTCTTTTATTTTTTTATTTTTCTTATATGTATCCATGTATTCATAACTATGTTTTTACTTATACCTATTATTTTGTAAGCAATTGACAAAAATAAAGAAAGAAAGAAAGAAATATTCAGAAAATATCTTCCCATTTCTAGAATTAATTATAAGCAACCTATAGATTAAAGATTTATATTCACATAAATTGTATATTTGTAAATAAGCACAAAACAGAAGTTTATGAGATAGATGTCACAAAATGTTAATGTCATACAATGTATATTTTTTTGGTTCGGTTTTTAAAGATATAAAAGACAACGTTTATTTTTAAAAAGCATGAACTTTATAGTTGCAGGGGTGGGCTGCTGGGGGTTTGCAGGGGTTTGGGAGAGCCCCTAGCTAAGATTCTGTGCAGTTCGGAGAACCCCCAAATCCCACTCCTGGCTGGCCCTACCACCCCTCCCCTCTCCTCTCAGGAGTCTCCACACAGCCCGTTTTGGATACAGGTAAGTGCAGGGCATGTGTGGAGGCTTGAGGAGGGTGAAAAACGGGCCTCCCGGAAGTTCGTGAAGGCCAGAAATGGGCCTTCCAGCTTCCAGAGAGACTCTGGAGCCCAGGGAGACAAAAATGCCCTCCCTACCATGGTGCAGGAGACTGACTAGGCCACGTCCACCATGGCCACGCCCAACCAACAACTGGACAGAGAACCCTTTGCTAAAAAAAATTGAAGCTCAGCCCTGTGTATAGTTGTGCACTTTAATTTGCAATCCTTTTATCCTTTTGTTTCTAATGTTTCTGTTTAACAGTCCAAACACCAGAATAAATAATAAAGGAAATCCCTGATGTTCCTCAATACCAGGGAAGATTCTGGAAAAGATAATCAAGCAATGAATTAGTGAACACCTAGAAGCAAACAAAGCAATAACCAAAAGCCAACATGGGTTTGTTAAAAACAGATCATGCCAGACTAATCTTATTGCATTCTTTGACAAAGTGATAAAATTAGTTGACCAGAAGAATGTTGTTAATATAATTTAATTGGATTCAGTAAGGCATTTGATAAAGTAGACCATAACCTACCACTAGATAAAGTAGAAAAATGTGGGTTAGATAGCATCACCACCAGATGGATTCATAACCGGCTGACCAACCATACTCAACGTGTAATCCTCAATGGAACTGCATCTACCTGGAGGGAACTATGCAGTGGAATACTCCAAGGCTCTGTTTTAGGCCCAGTACTCTTCAACATCTTCATCAATGACTTGGACAAGGGGATAGATGGGGAACTCATCAGATTTGCAGATGACACCAAGCTGATAGGAATAGCCAACACTCCAGAAGATAGTCTTAAGATGCAGGAGGATCTCAACAGACTTGAACATTGGGCGCTATCTAACAAAATGAAATTCAACGGGAAAAAAAGTAAGGTTCAACATTTAGGCAAGAAAAATCAAATGCACTGGTACAATATATGTGGTACCTTGCTCAACAGTGTAACTGTGAGAGGGATCTCTGAGTCCTAGTGGACAACCATTTAACTATGAGCCAGCAGTGTGGTGCAGCAGCCAAAAAAGCCAACTCAGTTGCATTAACAGAGGGATAGAATCAAGATCATGTGAAGTGTTAATACCACTCTATAATGTCTTGATAAGTCTCCACTTGGAATGCTGCATCCAATTTGTGACAATTTTATATTTTGAGTTTTTTGAATAAAAACTAAAATAGAAAAAAGATTTACTACCTGTTAATTATTTAGTTTTAGGTGATATGTGTTTTTACCTGGGGACGTGATGGCCCAGTGGTGAGGGAAACCTTTACCTTCACCTTATTTTTACTTGATTATAATATTTTATATTTATACTTGCACCCATAACTTACATCACCATAGCTGTGTGTTATATTTTTATAATAGAGACTCCTTGTTATGCTGGTTTTTTATCTCACCCATTTTATTTTATTTTTATGTTATATGTTTTCAAATTTTGCTAGTCACTGACTGAATAAATAGTATTTCATTTCATATAAACTGTTTCTTATTCTCAAAGGAAATAGTTTAATAGGCATGTATAGATATATGAATGATGACTGTTTAATGATTAACTAAATTCCTGAGGAAATTTCTATAGAAATAGGTCTTTTACATAGAAGCCAAGTATTATTTATAGTCCTAGTTATTACAATACACATTTCATAATACTGAAGGAAGAACTAAACATTTCTGTCTTCTTTGCCCTCATATATAAAGGAGTTCCTTAAAAGAAGCTATCTCAGTTGGTTCTTAATTTCAGGGTAGTTTTCTGGAATGTTTTATTATTTACAATGCCTACTTTTTTGTTCCTAAATTTTTTGTTTCTCATTCAGCCAGCTTTTCAAATATCAGGTAAAATTATTCAATTATTTATATTGTTTTAAAATATATGTATTTAAATTCAATTATTTAAATATTCAATTATTATTTATTTTTATTCAATCACAGTTCTTCAGTTCTTTGTGCTTTTTCCTCAGCACTAATGTATGGATGCATTCTCTATAATTATTGATTGTATCTAAATAATCTTTTAGAAATTATCTTTTTTTAATTTTTTATACCTTTAAAAAAAAACAATTCTTTTTCTCTACTGCTTGCTATATTTTAATGATTAATAATAGAAAATGTTAAAATTAAATAGATGAAATCTGAAATAGAATAGCATTGTTTCAATATTTAAAATGTATAGAAGATGGAAAACATGGCGATCATATAAAACTCTTATGTTTTTATGGGAAAAATTATATACATACACACATGGACACAGAGCATGAATGTGGCTACTTGATATTTATTATTATTGTTTGGTTCATTTTATAGACAGTGACACTTTTCTGATACACAATGAAAAACTTGATCTTTGCCTAAATCTTCAAGAATTTTATTCCTTCTCCCTTGAGATCTGCAACAAGCACAACGATCACCAAAATTTTAAGTGGGTATCTGATCATCAGATATTGAATATGGCAAAGAAGTTATGCTTGAGTGTGCCTTCAAAAACAAACATGATACCAGTTACACTGTCACCATGTAATGAAACCCTTGAATTACAAAAGTGGGAATGCAGAAATGACACGCTGCTTGCCCTTGCACCATCAACACCACAACAAGAACAAAATCTGTTTTTAAATCCTGCTGATGGGCGTGAGACTAGGGTTATATTATCAGATAACCCCACCACAAAAAGTGTTTGGAAGATCTATGGAACAAAGAAGAGCTTGTGTGACCAGAAATATGAAGGTAAATATTAGAACTTTAATTGTTGTTGTTGAATTTGCTTACTTAAATTCTCTTCCTTCTTGTTTGAACCTCTTTAACTGAAAATTTAAATAAATTGGATACTAAAGGTATAATTTCAAGTTATATTATTACCTAGCTGTCCTTTAACATATTAGTGTTGTTGTCTTTTACATTATCTGAGAAAAAATTGAACAGGTAGTCTTTAATGTATGACCACAATTGAGCCCAAAATTTCTTTTGCTAAGCAGGATAGTTGTTAAATGAGTTTTGCTTCATTTTACAACCTTTCTTGCCATAGAAAGTAGTTGTAGTTGTTAAGTTAGTTACATGGTTATTAAGTGAATCTGGCTTTTCCACTGACTTTGTCAAAAGATGATCATATGACACTAGGTCGCTACAAGCATCATAAATATGAACCAGTTGCCAAACATCCAAATGTTGCTCACATGACCATTGGGATGCTGCAACAGTCACTTTTTTCAATGCTGTTGTAATTTTGAATGGTCACTAAACGAATGGATGACTAAATGAATGTAGGATTACTATATTCTAAGATATAAATTCTGAAAAATGTATAAACATGGTTACACGTAATGTACACAAACTGTACGCATTCCTTAGAACTAAATCCAGAGATATTTTTGTACAGCATTTCTACTCTCATACTAGTACTTCTCAATCTAAGATAAATATGTTGGATTTCTTTTTTTATAGCTCTATTTACTATAGGCGGCAATGCCTTCGGAGCACCTTGCAAGTTTCCTTTCAAGTATACGAATAAATGGTATGCTGAATGCATAGTTGATGATGATGAACACAGACGACTTTGGTGTGGAACAACTTCGGATGTGGACAAAGACTCTTTAACTGGATATTGTCCCATAAAAGGTAAACTCTTATTTGATAATACATTTATTTTGTATCCCACCTTTATTATTTTTACAAACAACTCAAGGCAACAAACATATCAACATATCTTCTTCCTCCTATTTTCCCTACAACAACCCACTGATGTGGGTTGGACTGAGAGAGAGGGATTGGCTAAAAGTCACCAACTGGCTTACATGGCTAAGGCAGGATTTCAATTCACAATCTCTCCTTTTCAGCCTAGTGCTTTAACTGGCTCTTATGCAACAGAATATGCATATCTATGTTTAAAAACAAGCCTTTTATAATACAGACTGTTTCATGTTCACTACTGCATTATTCTAAAGCAGTTGTGCCTATAGGTGGTGTCATAACATCTTGGTAATGTGTTCAATTAAATTAAAATGTAGTACATTTTAGAATAAGATTAATTAAATTGTTCAAATCATCCTTTGCAATATAATTAGAAGTAACTATTTTGTTCACAGTTAAGGTGCTTAAGAGAATGTGTTTGCATTTGTTAAATTGGGTGCATTTCTTTGGGTGGATTCTGGTGAAAAAGAGGTTGGACTGCTACAGGGTAAACCTGGGTTCACTTCCACTATAGCTCCTGAAGGTCGCTGAGTGATTTTGAAAACTTTCTCCTAATCCAACCTATCTTACAAGGTTGTGATTGTTGGTGGAAATGGGAAGAGAGCATTTTGTGTACCACCTTGAGGCCCAGGAAAAGGAAGGAAGCAAAGGAGGGAGGGAGGGAGAAAAGAAGGAAGAAAGACAGGGAGGAAAGAAGGAAAGGAGGGAGGGAGGAGGAAAGAAGGAAGCAAGCAAGGAAGGAAGGAAGGAAAGAAGGAAAGAAGGAAAGGGATCAGAATGTCAGCAGAGTCATTTTGGCATAAAGTTATCTCTTATGCATTTCATTAATGTTTTATTCTGTGAGTTTGTATTTCCACAAAATGTGGAACTTGTTGACTCTAACCCTCTTTTTTTAGACTATATCAAAATGTTACATAAAACTGACTTCAATTGTACCTTTTCTGCATTAATGGGCTACACTGATCTTGGTTGATCAAATACCATTAGTAGTGGGGGAGGGAGGAGACTACCAGGAAATCTGTGGGTTGTAGGCTACAATAAGGTGCTAGAAAATTCCCAAAAGAAGTCAGTCACAAAGCACTTTTGTTCTGTTTTCAGTGATCAGGACCAAACTTCTCTTCAGGGAACCTTAATTTTATATATATATAGTTTTATTATGTTTTAATACATATACAGATCAGAGGTGCTATTCAGCCGGTTCGCACCTACTCGGGCGAACCAGTAGAAACAATTTGGCGTGGGTCGCCGAACCGGTAGCAACATCTAACTGGCCATGCCCCCAACCCGGTCGCCCAGTTTCCGCTCAGTTGATGCTCGCTGCCCCAGTTTAAAGGAGGACTGCTCCCCTGCCCTAGCCATGTATTTTCAAGCAACCACTTGAAAACACATGAATGTGGGCGGAGCAGCGGTCCATTAACCTGTAAAACTGTTCCAAGGCTGGATTCTTCATGGACACTAGAAGTATCGCTTCGCCTCGTGAGTAAAGTGTCTGGAGCGGGAGGGAAAGAACTGGGGGGCGGAATCCAGCCATGGGGAAGTTTGCAGGAGCTGCAAATGCAAGTCCATTTACCTGTAGAACTTCTCCAATGCTGGATTCACTTCCCCTTGTGAGTAAAGTGCCTGAAGCGAGAGAGAAAGAACACTGTGGGAGGGGAGGGGAAATCCAGCCATGGGGAAGTTTGCAGGAGCTTCAAATGCAAGCCCGTTTACCTGTAGAACTTCTCCAATGCTGGATTCACTTCCCCTTGTGAGTAAAGTGCCTGGAGCAAGAGGGAAAGAACGCTGGGGGAGGGGGGAAATCCAGCCATGGGAAAGTTTGCAGGAGCTGCAAATGCAGGTCCGTTTACCTGCAGAACTTCTCCAATGCTGGATTCACTTTCCCTTGTGAGTAAAGTGCCTGGAGGAGAGGGAATGAAGGCTGACGTGTGTGTGTGTGTGTGTGTGTGTGTGTGTGTGTGTGAGAGAGAGAGAGAGAGAGAGAGAGAGAGAGAGAGAGAGAGAGAGAGAGAGAGAGAGAAGAAAGAAAGAAAGAAAGAAAGAAAGAAAGAAAGAAAGAAAGAAAGAAAGAAAGAAAGAAAGAAAGAAAGAAAGAAAGAAAGAAAGAAAGAAAGAAAGAGGAAGGGAGAGAAAGAGGAAGAAAGAACGAAAGAACAAAAGAAAGAAAGAGAGAGAAATAGGGAGAGAGAGAGTGTGGTGTGTGTGAGAGAGAAAAAGAAAGGAAGGGAGAGAAAGACAGAAAGAGACAAAGGAAGAAAAAGAAAGAAAAAGAAATAGGAAGGGAGAGATAAAAGTCTGTGCTATTTTTTTTAATTGTTCCATTATTTATCATGTGTTAATATTTTACACTGTCCCTACACCTAGAATGATTCTACTGCCTTTCTTTTGCCCAGGGCTACCACATATTTTTCAGGGTTTACATGCATTCAATGTCTAGTTCAGAGCATAAATACATGTGTATTTAACAGAGTTGAAAGGGAGTTTGGAGGTCTTCTAGTCCAAGACCCTGCTCAGGCAGGAAAACTGAGGATGCCAAACTCTGAGTAGAGGTCCTGGGAAAGAATAACATTTAGAAGGGACTTTTGGGGGAACCCTATGCCATTTCAAAGAAATGGCTGTCCAGTCTTTTAAAAATTTCCATTGATTGATCACCCAGAACTTCTGGGGACAGGTCCACTGGTTAATTGTTCTCACTGTCAGAAAGTTTCTCCTTAGTTTTAGGTTGCTTCTCTCTTTGTTCAGTTTCCACCCATTGCTTCCTGTTTGCCTCCTGATGCTTTGGAAAATACATACCCCCCCCCCATTTCTTTGTGGCAGCCCCTTAAAAGCCTGTTGCCTATATTACACTCTTGAGTAAAGCATGTGAGCCATTTTCTCCTTTCAGTGGTACATCTATAGTATGCAGATAATAAAGTCAAAAAAGGTGAACAACATTTTTATAGAATTATAGATAAGTTGAGGCTGGGTGACAAAGAATGGCTGGGAGGGGAGGGACCAGGTGAGGCACCCCTTGATGTGAGTGACATTGAGTTGGCCACACCCACCCAGTCACATGACCACCAAGCCATGCCCACCCAGTCACATGACCATTAAGCCACACCCACCCAGTCACAAGACCACCAACCACGCCCACCAAATAAGCCACACCCACAGAACCTGTAGTAAAAAAAATTGAATTCCACCACTGATACAGATAGCCCTCAACCTACGACCACAATTGAGCCCAAAATTTACGTTGCTAAATGAAATATATGTTAAGTGAGTTTTGCCCATTTTATGACTTTTCTTGCCACTGTTAACAACAATCATTGCAATTGTTAAATAAGTAATATGGTTAAGTGGATCTGGATTCCCCATTTACTTTGCTTGTCAGAAGGTTGCCAAATCACATGACGCTAGGACACTGCAACATCATAAATACAAACCAATGGGAACTGGAGCTAGCATTTCTAAAATCAACACTTCTGAAACCGCAGTCAGTCATACATACATTCATACAGTCGCTCAACAAGTTCCTCATTAGTAGGTTCTTAAAAACTACTTCCTTATATCTTTTTTAAATACTCATAACTGGAGGTATAAGAGTTATATTTTTATTCTCCTTTCAAGCTAGGCTAAAAGAGACAGTGAGGGATCCTTGGTGCTCTCTGAGCTTGGCTGCTTTCTTGCAGACCAATTAGGTAATATCATCAGTGCTAGTCATCGTCTTAATGGCTGTGATGAAAGCAGCGATCCCAGGCATTATGAGAAACTAATTGTGAAAACTAGTTGTCTTGTGGCCCTTTTGCCCTCTAAATGCACGTGGTACTTTATGCTGCTATCTTTATGTCTTCTCACAGAATGACTTAGGCTGAGTCTTATTATTTATTTTATGTTTTATGTATTTGTAGTAATATCACTGTACACATTATGATTAAGAAACATAGAAACCTCTGAGGGAATTGTGTGGCTCAGAAATGTAAAAAGAAAATCAAATCAAATAAAAATAATAAAATAAATGAAATGAAACAAAATGAAACAAAACAAAAGCTAGTTGGACATAATAAAGTCATGTTACTGTCACAAATGCAGCCTGGATCCATTTCAAAAATCTATCAGAAAGAATGATTTTAATAGTTTTGCAAAGGGTGAGTAAAGTGGGTGATGACTTGGTGGCATAATGAGAAGCTACCACAAGAAGAATTCCTATGGGTTCCTAAGAGAGATTTTAAACAAAATGATATGGGTTCCAACCAAGACTTTAAAGTTAAAAACAGCACCTTAGACTGGGCCAGAAGTCTTTTGGAAATCAATGGAGGAATCTCAGTATAGATGTAACACTACTAAAACTATTTCCCTCCATTAGTAATAAATAAATGCAATTTCAACCAATTGCTACCACCCATTTACACAGAAAGCCCCATACAAGCATGTTGCAGTAGTCTAAATGTGTCCCATTATGCTTTTTCCGAAAGGCAACTAGACTTTCTTGATTTGTTTTCTTTGAAAACATTTCACTTCTCATCCAAGAAGCTTATTCAGTTCTGAAGCTTCTTGAACTAAAGAAGCTTCTTGAATGAGAAGGAAAATGTTTTCAAATTAAAAACCAATGAAGTCCAATTGCCTTTTAGAAAAAGTACCTTGGGACAACTATGACCTGGACAATTGAGATCATTTTGTTTCTCCATAGACATACAGTTTAAAAATGAGGTACATGGTTCAATGGTGGGCAAGGATGTCTTGAAGGAGAATATCTAAAGCTCTGCTTGGCTTTACTCCTGGTACACATGGACAGAGGTCGCTGTTATCCAGTGAAGTTATATGACAATGTCGCTGTTTAGAAGTGGAGATTTGACTTACTTCACTGTGTGGCTTGATGAAGCAAAACACCATTCAAAATCTGCAGACCACTTGTCCAACATTTGGCAGTTCTTATTAACTAAACTATGTAATAAAAATTAATGCAATGAAAATATAAATGATAACATTTCTGTCAGGGCTTTGCTACTAATGAGCTGATTCTACTTTTCATAATTTTTACAGATAAAAATGATAACTTTTTCTGGACCAAAAATTACTGGACAGAAGATCTCTACCAGATCAATTCCCACTCAGCTTTAACATGGGATGAAGCAAGAAAAAACTGTCTGCAACAAAGTTCAGAATTATTGACCATCAACGAACTACATGAACAAGCATATTTGACAGGTATCACATAACAAAACATTACTTAAAAGGCTTCTAAAGTCATTCCTGATAAGAAATATCTCATCTGTAATTAGCAATTTTAAAAACTTTGTATAAGAAACATCATTTTTCCTCCAGAGAAATTATCTTCTGAAAAATATTTGAGGCTTTGAAACAGTCTTTTTTTGAATTATCCACTTTCAAGGAACAAATATTTTGACATAACTGAATTTGGAGTCCAAAGATGAACATTTATCTGATTGATTTGAAATTAACACATAAATATCAGTAGAAGAAAATATTTGTAGTTCAGGTGGAATTGTTGAGTTCTTGGTGCCATCTGACCTTGGTTTTTGCTTGCACATGTTTCATTACTAGGCAACATCCTAAGTGTGCTGTTTTCTCCCTGTTCTTTGGTTAGATTACTGTTTTGATCTGTTTTCTGCTTAATTATTTGGTGTTAATGTCACCTTATGTCGGTGTTAGATGATTGAAGAGGATGTGTTCTGATTGTTTGCTTCCTTTAATTGTCACTTTTGAATGGTGTGTAAATATGGTTTACCTCTATGTGTCTATATCAATATAGATTTACATACCATTCAAATGTGACAATAAAAAAGCTAAGAAAGAAACAAAAAAATCAGAACAACCCCCCTTCAACTACCTAACAACTAGATAAGAAAATATTAACACCAAATAATTAAGCAGAAAAAAATATTTTAACCAAAGAACAGAGAGAAAACTCCATGCTGATATGGCTGAGTGCCATATTCCGTAAGTTCCCTAGTATTTTTAAATTTAACTTGATCTAAGATACTCATAGTTTCCCAGTAAAAGTCATGGTTAAATCTGTCCATGTATTGTGAGGTTAAGGAGTTTTCATTGTACAAATAGAATAGAATATTATTAGGTCATGGTCAAATTGAAGACTCCTTGGTGCACTTTGAGCTGGGTTGTTTTCAAGCAGGTTAGGTAACATATTCAGTGAAGTTTTCATTGTGTTTTGACTGTGTCTTCTGACTGCTAGTTGGAGTTTATGGTGGTACTTTTGCCTGTCTGTTTTATATAGTGGCTGTTACCTACCTACCTACATTTATATGCGTATACATGTGTGTATGTGTGTCTGTACAAATATACATACTTATGTGTGTGTGTGTGTGTGTGTGTGTGTGTATAGAATTCTTTATTGGCCAAGTGTGATTGGATACGCAAGGAATTTGTCTTGGTGCATATATTCTCAGTGTACATAAAAGAAGAGATACATTCATCAAGAATCAAGAATCACAAGGTACAACACTTAACAATAGTCTTAGGGTACAATAAGCAATCAAATCATACAAGGAAACGGTCACTAAAAATCATTAGGATGCAAGCAACAAGGTTACAGTCATACAGTCACAAGTGGGAGGAGATGAGTGAAAGAAAAGATGGGAGGATTAACTGTAATGGTAATAGTAATGCAGACTTAGTAAATAGTTTGACAATGTTGAGGGAATTATTTGTTTAGCAGAGTGATGGCGTTCAGGAAAAAACTGTTCTTGTGTCTAGTTGTTCTGGTGTACAGTGCTCTATAGCGTTGTTTTGAGGGAAGGAGTTGAAACAGTTTTATGTCCAGAATGTGAAGGGTTTGTAAATATTTTCACAGCCCTCTTTTTGACTTGTGCAGTATACAGGTCTTCAATGGAAGGCAGGTTGGTAGTAATTGTTTTTTCTGCAGTCCTAATCACTCTCTGAAGTCTGTGTCTGTCTTGTTGGGTTGCAGAACCAAACCAGACAGTTATAGATGTGTAGATGACAGACTCAATAACTCCAGTACACACACACACACACACACACACACACACACACACACACACACACA